TCAGCACAATGTAACTGCATTATTCCTAAAAAAGTAACACACTATGATTACTTTTTTTATGGAAAGTAATGCATTAAGCTAGTTTTCATTCACCCACTGAAGCAAAGAGTCCATTAAAAATTAAGCAAGATTGATAAATTTAATAATGACAGCATTTTGATGAGTGTGTTATCAAATACTGAGTATCCTGAAAATAATTTTGCTGCCATGTCCTGTTTCAAAGAGATGCTCTTTTTTTGTGGGGGGGGGGGGGCCCTTTGCTCCTGTTGTCGTCATCACTTGTCTTTCTGTTTAGTGTTGCAGCTAGATCCAAACCTCCGTTCCCCAACTCTAAATCCATATTCATTCTCAAATACTAGGTTCTGATTGAGAAGAGAAACAAATTGCACCAAAACGGAGTCAGACTGGCTTATGTTAGCAAAGCTAGCCACTTCGCTAATGTAACAGTCTGGAACCAAAGCAAATTCCTTGGTGTTAAAAACACAGAACCCATTAAAGTTGAGCCCTTCACTCATATTTCTGGTAAAAATGAAGTCAAACACGAATAACAGGTGAGTATATTTAGAACGGTAAACATATTAGCAACAAATGTTAAGTGCAAATGTTGTTGTCATGTTGTTTTGTTGAATTTCTGATGCATTAGCCTCAGGTTTAACTTTAGGTTGATTTAACTCCAATGTTTCCGCCCCAATACAGACTTCACTGAAAAGGACTGATCATGATGAAAAACACACTGAACATGATTTAGATATAAAATGAACTGAGGCAGCTTTTGGCACTGCACTGCGACTCTGTAGGTAAGATTAGAGGATAAGAGCTAAATAGCAAACAGTGTCTCCACTATTTGTGAATAGGAGCTGACAAAAAGTTTGCTAATAATGTATTAGCAAAAATATTTTATACATATTTAAATGTATAAATAATTAAGTTGATTACAAAATAATTAGATGTATACATATATAATGATTAAAGGGCTAGTTCACCTTCAGTCGCTGGTCCCCATTGAATTCCATAGTATGGAGAGAGAAAAAAAACACTATGCAAGTCAATGGGGACCAGCAGCTGAAGATGAACTATCCCTTTAAGAATATAGAAAATTATTTATCATTTGGTATTCTTTTCAGTGCGACTCTTTCTGCATGTTACATATAATTACGTCAGAATGTGACAACAAGTGACAACAATTTTCTGTGTTATGAGTGATTCGCTGAATAATTCTCAAGCCAGTTGTTAAAAACACTGATTCAAAACAAGTACAGAACATATGAGTGATTCATTAAATCATCTCTCAAACGATTAGTTCAAAAACACTAATTCTTTCAGGGATGAAACTAGTACTCGATACATGAGTGATTCGTTGAATGGTTCACTCACGTTTCATTCAAAAACACTGAATCATTCAGGAATGAAATTTTCATTGGCAGTGCAAAACTAAAACAAATATCTGTTAATATAGTCCCTAAAATGTAAGTTTAGGGACTTGCCGTTACTTGCCGTTAGTACTCTGGTGGTAAACACGTTAATGACGCTATACCACGTTTACGAAGTGAATTGTACAGACACTGTGGTTGAGCCAAATTGAGTTTGAAAACTCCCTGAAATTCTAATTAGTGGATTTGACACTCTTTAAACAAGTGAATTTTGATATAAGATATAAAGATTTTTTTAAATAATCATGCAATATAATACAAATTTGATATGAACGATTTGTAAGATAGTAGATAGGTTGCAACTTGATTCATTGTACAACTCCTGTGAAATTGTCTTTCATTTGTACTGATGACAGAATCAAGTTTATTTTCAAGCTGTTTTAAACTAACTCAGCTATTTTTACAGAATTCAACAAGGCATGATTTGTTCACTAGAGCCCTTTGGGCTGGCATAACACTGTCAAGCACATGTGTTGCAAATACAAACTGTCACAACAGTTAAGATATGCTTGTGATAGCAGAACTAAAAGCACTTACATTTGACATAAATATTAATTCTCACTTCCTGTGTTCTTTACAGTTGATCACACTGTTGCATCAGCTGCATGCTTGCATGCTTAGTAGAAGTCTCTTTAACTGTTCTTTTAAAGGGGTCATATCATGAGCAATCAGATTTTTTGAGAAAACTAACTATGAGTTACGTCTTGATGTAATGATTGACAGGTGGGAATGTGAACATGTTAATGCAATTGCCGTGGAATGCATTTTCAAGTTGTATTAATATGTTAAAAATATCCCTCCATTTTATTTTTGCTAATTAAGTTGCCGTTCAAAAGTTTAGGGTTGGTAAGATGTTTTTGAAAGAAGTCTCTTATGCTCATGAAGGCTGCATGTATTTGATCAAAAATACAGTAAAGACCGTGATATTGTGAAATATGATTACAATTTAAAATAGCCAAATAAATAATACATTTAATATATTTTACATGTAATTTATTCCTGTAATGCAAAGCGGAATTCTCGCATTCATTACTCCAGTCTTCAGTCACATGATCCTTCAGAAATCATTCTGATATGCTGATTTGGTGCTTAAGAAACAGAAATGATGAATATGAATATGAATATGAATCAATAAATTATAAATTAAACAATTTTGGTTAAAAAATTAATTAGTGAAAAACAATGTATGATATGACCCCTTTAATGCAAAATTAACCTCAATGAATAGTGCTCTTCTTATTTAAAATAGCATTTTGAGGATATTTACCAAAGATAATCCAATAACCAGGGCTTGAAACGTTCTGTGTCACTCTGTTTTTGACAACCACTCTGGCCTTCTGCAGTGCAACCTCACAAGAGCACAAGAGCATCAACAGCAGATTTGTAATTCCCTCCTCATCCCTCTCTCTTCCTTTTCTTTGTGTCTATCCCTCTATCCCTGAGCGATTCTCTGGATATTTTTCATTCCTCTGCTGTGCGACTCATGCTCCTGTTTTATTCCTCCTTTACTGCTCTTCCAATCCCTCATCACCTCAAATCTCTCTTTCTCTTTCTCTTTCTCTTTCTCCCTCTCACTCTGACCCCGTGACCGCCATTTGCTTTGATCTTCCTGTTCTGTACTTCCCTATCGATCTTCTTGCCATGGGAACTTCTCTGTTTTGCATTCCATTTGCTGATTTTTTTTGCGGAATCTTCATCTCTCCATCATTCCATCCCTCCTCCTCTCCGCCTGCTCTCTCTCTTCTCCTCCCCTTTCCTCTCTCTCTCTGTCTCGCTAGGAAAAGCAGCTTTCCGCCTTGGATTCAGCAGACCCCGGTGTGAGTTTTGGAGGAGAATTGACCAGCTCTCCTGGCGTTGTGGGAGTCTCCCAATCGGACAAATCCTCTACCCGATCCCCCCTGAACGGAATCTTGTCCTTCCCGTTAGCCTCCCCTCCTCATTCCCATCCTCACGCACAACTCCGGCCGAACGGAGAGATCTCCGGCAACCAAAAATCAGCAATGGCATCGAGGGCAAGTTTGGAGGGGGAGCAGGTCAATAACAACGCTGACCGAATCCAAGAGAATTTTTAGGAATTCCGAAGAAAAATTCACATCCTTTGTCATCCTTTGAAGCTTCAGCGGTTGTTTTATTTTGTGCATTAGACTGAGGACAAGTGGGAGGCGGAACACACCATTACTTGCACCATCCAAAACAAAAGGGCTCTCCATTGGATCCGATATGTTATTCCAAAATCACGTTTACTTTGGATCAAATTTAAAAGCCCCTTGCACATACAGTACCTCTGCCACCACAGGTCATCCAAACCACTGGAAAGTACTTGGTTCAGGTTCCAGGTTTTTTGACTGAGTTCCCTCATATTGTGTAAAAAATTCCAAGAAGCTGGGAATGACCCCAGGACCGGTGGGCAAACAAACTATACGTACGTTTCGAAGTGTATAGAGATCGAAAAAACGCCAGCTTTGTCTTGAGGATTTTGTCATGTCATCTGGCTTCCCTAGTGCCTTTCTGTATCTCCTGACAGGGTTTTCAAACGAACACAAGAATAACGACAGCAGAATTACAGAAATGGTTGTGCAAACGCCGCTCTCTTCTCGAGACTGCTCACTTAGAAGAGATTGATGTGTTCTTCTGCCTCAATGTAATGCTGAAAATGTCAAGCTTTGGAATACGACCATGGCTCGGGTTTTTTTGTGGACAATGTCTGGAAAGTGCTTGTGGTCTTTGAATTGCCTCACTAGACTGAACTTGTGCAATGTTCTCTCTTCTCAATCTCAGAACCTATGTGTATTTAACTGGTGCTATGGATTCTCAAAGCATTGCTTTGTGTCACATCACCGCCTCCCATTCTGTCATCGTCCTGACTGTTCATATGTGTCTTCGTCCTCCCATTTATCTCCTTACGGGCCGATTTTGACTTTCTTTCAGTGTGTGTCTGCAACAGGAGATGAGCGCGAGGTGATCTCTGTCAGGTCAAAAACCTTTTGTCTTTTTACTAAAACAAGATGCTAGGCTAGAATGCAGTTGTGGTCGTATGGTGTTTTTTATACAGAAACTTTTTTGTGTGTTTTTGTCTAAAAAGACAGTTTAAAGTCAACATGAAAGTTAACATGGAAGCAACCAATTTTCCCTCCATAATGTGACTTTTTGGAGTAAAATGGGAAGAACTGACTTTATTTTAACTTTTAGGAATTCATTGGATTGTAAAAAAAAAAAAAGTCTGGTGGCTAAAAAACAAAAGCGAGTTGTTTCAAAGGTGGTGCAACTTGTATTTTGTTAAACGATTATGAAAACAACCCTGTTTTTATATACAATAGCATGCACCAAATAATCATCAATAAGACGACTAAGAATGTACATTGAAAAAGTAGACAATACTCGTACCAAATAATCAGTACATTTACATTTATGCATTTGGCAGATGCTTTTATGCAAAGCAACTTTTATTGCATTCAAGGTTTACATTTTATCAGTTCACACAGGGGGAGTCGAACCCATGACCTACTCTTTAAGCTATGCTACAAAATTGCGAATAATAAGTTAACAAATAAACATGGTCCATTTTGTTTTCATGTTGACTTTAAAGTTGCTCAAGCATCTCTAAAGTAGTTCTTGGTAGCGTTGAATGGTCATTTTAGGAAAGATCTTGTTAGATAACAGACTTGGTTTGTAAAATAATCAGATCTTATGTACGGTACAGAAATATTGCTAGCTATAATTCCTCATTTGAGTATCACTGCCATCTGGTACTGATTGCATTCCTCATCGCTCACTACAAGTTGTTTTATTGTTTTTTTTACGATTAATCAGTTCATTGTCATGTTTCTACAGACTCAAGACATTCACATGGCTTCGCTGATACAAGTCATTCCATTGTAACCCAGTTCATTGTCGATTGCCTTGTTGTTGCATTGTAAACCAATACAAGTTGTAACAACTTCACCAATACAGCAGGCCTAGATGAGAGCGAGGAGATTTAAGTCGTAACTGCACAATAAAAACACTGAGCTGTACTGTAATATTTATAAATTGGGAAGGCACTAGAGAGGAGAATGGACTGATTGCCATTTTAGCTTCGAGGGCTATCTTTAAGTGACTTCTACTCCATTTAGTAATAATAAACAGGCAATTTTGTTTATGTCCCAAAAGCGGTTGAGAAAAAGTGGGATAACAGGGTTATCAGCTGAAAAATGTGCCATGACATGAATATACCTCAGACGTAGAATCGAATGACTCAGGTAAACTTTCAATTGCCTCACAGTTTAACGCAAACTGGATAGAAAAAAACTCATTTTAAGTTAAACTGCCTGTTTTGGTAGTTAGTCCATTTCTTCTCTGAGATTAGTAGCAGTGATTGGTCAGAGGCTCATCAAGCACCTCCTCTTTTCCCTGCATCTCCAGCCAATCACAAAGCTTCATGGAGGACAATCTGGAACCTAATTGGAGGCCTCACCTTGGACATTCTGCAGGTTGGCCAGGTTTTAATTCCAGGGCGCTGTCACGCGATTCGGTTGGTTGACAGAGGGGAAACTGAGGCTTTGACTCAGCGCCAGAGCCGATCCAAAGAAAAAATATAGGTTCCCTTCCTCTGACGTGCCCTCTCTCTGATATAATTCGATATGATGACCGTTAGGGATGCTTAACGTCTGTCAGACGGCTTCTGCGTGCCTCTTAACAGCGCAGTGGTTCATTGAGAGAGCTGGAGAGGTTCTGAGGATCAGATCAATCTCAAAGGTGCTGTTTTTTTAGGTTCTTTACTCATGTAGGATATTGAACAGTCCTCTACTTCTCATTATGATCTTCATATACCACCTTAGCTCTGCCTGTCATGCCTGCCTGCGTCTCAATCATGTCTTTTATTTTGGGGAAACTGAATATGCACAGCCTTTTTTGTTTTTTCCTCAAGAGACGCTGATTTGTCCTTCAGCGGATTTGATAAGAGGCTGGAAATATACGAACTTTTGTTTCCTGCCGGTTTTCTACTTCTTGACTGGACCTCACCCAGATGAGATCACGTATTTACATGCTGGTAATGTGAGACAAGAACTTGAAAAGTCTGAAAAGAATCCTTTTTTGATCCGTAAATTTATGAGACAATCTCTTTGCAAAGAAAAATCGACAACCTGTTATTTTACCTGCTCCCCCTCCCCGCACTTGGCTGGATCCTCGCAGACTCTTTGTATGTGAAAGAAAGATGGATTCTTTTACTTTTTAATTCTCTTTCATTTTGCTGTGGAGTTCTTGATTTTATGGACGACACCTTTTGGAAGTGGAATCCTCTTATTTAGAAATTTGGCAGTCGCACGTTTGTAGGATTGTTGGTAGTTTTGCGAAGTTTTAAATGTAACTTTATTTCCTTGTTTGGATGCCATTGCAGGGCAACACGGACATTTCTCTGCTTCCTTTTTACACTCACGTATTTACATGCTGGTAATGTGAGACAAGCACTTGAAAAGTCTGAAAAGAATCCTTTTTTGATCCATAAATTTATGAGACAATCTCTTTGCAAAGAAAAATCGACAACCTGTTATTTTACCTGCTCCCCCTCCCCGCACTTGGCTGGATCCTCGCAGACTCTTTGTATGTGAAAGAAAGATGGATTCTTTTACTTTTTAATTCTCTTTCATTTTGCTGTGGAGTTCTTGATTTTATGGACGACACCTTTTGGAAGTGGAATCCTCTTATTTAGAAATTTGGCAGTCGCACGTTTGTAGGATTGTTGGTAGTTTTGCGAAGTTTTAAATGTAACTTTATTTCCTTGTTTGGATGCCATTGCAGGGCAACACGGACATTTCTCTGCTTCCTTTTTACACCACTAGACAAAAATATAAATGTTGAGAGATCATGCAGGTCGAAATAATGTTGTGGGTGACTGTGTGTATATACAGTGTGTGTACAGTCTTTGTGTATATACTGGATGTATGGATGGTTATATCATATAAATATATATATACATATACATGTATTTTGTACATAAGATATGTTTGTATATGCAGTGTACAGAATGTGTTCTTTTACACCGATTTCCCTTTTTCTCGATATGTGGAAAAAGTAAAAGCATAACAGAACTTTGTGGGAATGAAAACTCGCATTGGCGACTCGTCGGCGGAGTTATTCGAAGCACTTTTCGCTCAGGCTGATTATACGCAGTCTGAAACTTAGCTTACAATGCATCGCCGTGGGTCCGCCACACGCTTTGCCAGTCTAAAGCTTGCACTCATTTTCTCACTGATTGAGGTGTTTTGTAACAAGTTCTGGATGACCAAGCAATGCTTGTACATAAATAGGCTATATAGGCTTAATACCTATCGTATGTTTGCAAATATCAACTTTTCCAGACACGAGTCACCTGCTAATCTTTGCAGCTTTTGCATCGCCACTTGCTTTCAATTTCAATGCGGTGCCGTGTGTCAGATTTTTTTTGGATCGCTGTAGAAGGTCGATCTTGTGAGAAGACTCTGCTGATCTTTTGTATGGCCTGATGCTTTATTCCCTCATTACTTGCCTAGCAACTCTTCCATGCAAGTAATCGCTTCTTTGTCCCCTGTAAATAAATGGAGTTCCCATGATGTGCCTCTTTCTAATAAACTTCAGTTGGTCTTTGTCAGCCATAAGCCAATCACAGTCATCTCTCTTGACAAGCCATAAGCCCCGCCCCTATATTTCCATTTTTGAAAAGGGCAGACACTTGGGAATTTTATTTCTTTTTGTATATATTAATAGAAAGAGTGGTATGTCAGAGTGTATTGCCGATGTTTTTGGATTTGTTATGAATGTTGATATTCTGGTTATTGAATTATGATTATTATTGTAATAATATAATGACTGCTGTTATCATTTCATCATTCTTTAGTTTATTCAATACTGTTAAAGACTTTTATTTCTTTTTGAATAAATCGGAATTTATATTTTTCGGGTGGGCTAATTATAGAAATTAAATCAATTAAACAGATGAATAAAGAAATACATTCTTATTGAATTCATTTACGATACTGAGAATGATGTTTTATCTATCTATCTATCTATCTATCTATCTATCTATCTATCTATCTATCGTTCTATCTGTCTATCGTTCTATCTGTCTGTCTGTCTGGCTGGCTCGGCTGAAAAAAATTAAGTTGTGGCAGTTTCAGTTGATATAATTGATGCCACTCCCAGGTTCCACAACTCAGCTGATTAAAATGCGCCTTTATTAATACCTTCAGCTAAAGGTATTAATAAAGGAATACCTTCACGTGGGGAAGTTGTGGCCTAATGGTTAGAGAGTTGGACTCGTAACCCCACTTTTAAAGTAGAAGATAATAAGAATGAAACAAGATGGAGGCTTGTGATTTCAGTATTGCTGTGTCTTGTCAAACATGTTCAAAATGCAGCTGCCAGGTGATGCCAGATGGTCCATCTGCTAATCTTGACCGGAGACGAGGGGTTGATGAGAACATTTTAAATTGCAATTACTATTTTAAACAGCTTGTGGCTGGATCTACAGTACTCTGAAATTTGTAGCTGCTTAATGCCTGCATAAACATTTAAAAATCAGCATAAACATGCAATTCACATATATTTTTGCAACTATATATTTTCCTTAATTTGGATGTTTTGAAACTAAAACTTTTGAGAACAATTTTCTAGAGGGAAATTGCATATCTGACTTTACTTTCCATTCATAAAACTCTTTATGACTTTACTTTCCATTCATAAAACTCTTACAGTGTGCCTTCAGACATATCCATTACTTATAAAACATGCAGGGCCGGTTCTAGACATTTGGAGGCCCCCCACCCTGCAATAAAAAGCACATGAAACAAATATGATTCCTAATCTTTTTATTAATACAACACTTCATTTTAAATTTTGCATACTTATACAGTACTGGTCAAAAGTTTGGACACATTACTATTTTTTATGTTTTTGAAAAAAGTCTCTTATGCTCATCAAGTCAGAATTTATTTGATCAAAAATTCAGAAAAAAACTTAATATTGTGAAATATTATTACAATTTAAAATAATGGTTTTCTATTTTACCATAAAATATAATCTATTTCTGTGAGGCAAAGCTAAATTTTCAGCATCATTACTCCAGCCAGATTTTTTGATGATTAAAAAGTTGTTTAATATTACAAAATATAATTTTTTTATAACAATGTCTTTACTATCACTTTTTATCAATTTATCACATCCTAGCTGAATATTACCATTTTTTCTATATTTTTGATCAAATAAATGCAGGCTT